AGAGGAAAGTCTAGGAGGTTCCTGAACGGTGTGGAAGACAACTTTCTGACACAGCTGGTGAGTAAGCCAACTAGGGAAGGTGCCCCGCTGGACCTGTTTTATGTGAGTAGAGAAGGACTTGTGGGTGGAGGCCATCTTTGGAATAGTGATCATAAGATAAGAGTTTTCGATTCTTGGAGAAGTAAGGAGGGAGATCAGCAGAACTGCTATCTTAGAGTTCAGGAGGTCAGGCTTTGGCCTGTTTAGGAGACTGGTTGACAGAGTACCTTGGGAGGCAGCCCTGAAGGGAAAAGGAGTCCAGGAAGTATGAACTTTCTTCAAGAAGGAAATCTTAAAGGCACAGGAATGAATCATCCCCATGTGCCAAAAAAATCCAGTGGGAAAGAAGACAGGCCTGGCTGAACAGAAAGCTTTGGCTGGAACTCAGGAAAAAACAGGAGAGCTTACGACCTTTGGAAGAAGGGGTAGGCAACTCAGGAGGACTACAGGGATGTTGTGAGGTTATGCAGGGAGGAAAATAGAAGGGCCAAAGCCCAACTAGAACGTAATCTGGCTACTACTGTAAAAGACAACAAAAAATGCTTCTATAAATACATTAGCAACAAACAAAGGGCTAAGGAGAATCTCTATCCTTTATTGAATGCAGTGGGAAACATAATGACAAAGACTCAGGTACTTAATGCTTTCTTTGCCTCAGTCTTTAGTAGTAAGAACGGTTGTAGCCCCCTGAGCTGGAAGACAGGGACAGGGAGCCGAATCAAGTCCCCATAATCCAAGGGCTAGTGACCTGCTACATCACTTATACACGTACAAGTCTATGGGGCTGGATGGGATGCATTTGGGTACTGAGGGAGCTGGCAAAAAGGCTCAACAAGCCACTTTCTCTCATTTATCAGCAGTCTGGGAAAACTGGTGAGGTTTGGTGGCTGGTTGCAAGTGCAGCTCCACAGGGCTCAGTATTGGGGCCAGTTCTGTTCAATAACTTTATAAATGACATGGACGAGGGAATCAAGTGCACCCTCAGTAAGTTTGCAGATGACACCAAGTTGGGCAGGAGTATTGATCTGCTTGATGGTAGGAAGGCTCTACAGAGGGATCTGAGCAGTCTGGATCAATGGGTCTTGCACTTGGGTCACGACAACCCTATGCAACACTACAGGCTTGGGGAAGAGCATCTGGAAGGCTGCCAGACAGAAAAGGACCTGGGGGTGTTGACTGACAGGTGTCCAAGAAGGCCAATAGGCATCCTGGCTTGTATAAGAAAGTGTGGCTAGCAGGAGCAGGGAAGTGATTGTCCCCCTGTACTCAGCACTGGTAAGGCCACACCTCAAATACTGTGTTCAGTTTTGGGCTCCTCATTACAGGAAAGACATTGAGAAGCCAGAGCATGTACAAAGAAGGGCAACAAAGCTGGTGAGGGGTGTAAAGCACAAGTCTTATGAGCAGCAGCTGAGGGTATTAGGGTTGTTTACCCTGGAGGAAAGGACATTCAGGGGAGACCTTTCCACTCCTGAAAGGAGGTTGTATTGAGGTGGGTGTCGGTCTCTCTTCCCAAGTAACAAGCAACAGGACAGGAGGAAAAGGCATCAAGTTGTAACAGGGGAGGTTTAGATTGGATATTAGGAATTTTTTTTTCAGCAAAAGGGTTGTCAAGCATTGGACAGGCTGCCCAGGGAAGTGGTTACGTTACCATCCCTGAAGGTATTCAAAAGACATGCAGATGTGGCACTTAGGGATACGCTTTACTGATGGGCTTAGCAGTGCTAAGTTAATGATTGGACTTGATGATCTTACAAGTCTTTTCCAACCTAAATGATTATATGATTCTGTGATTCTATGACTGATAAGATAGGTCTGGAATCCACAAAAACATACCATTGAAGTGAGAACAACGGAAAGCAGCACTGCACTGCAAAGATGATGTGTTTCTATTGGAACTGTCCTTTCAGACTAGAACACTAGTAAAATCAATAAAAATACAGGAAAATCAAGCAAAAATTATAGGGGAAAAAAAAAGCAAACCCAAAACCTAAAGTATGAAGACACTGTAATTAACTAGTCAGGATAAATTACCTTAGGAAAAAAAGGACAATAGTTTATAAAAGCATTTCAGGAAGCTGTTTGTCTTTTCTGAGGTAGACAGTATGCAAATGGTTTTCATTAGAAGAACAGTACAAAGTGGAGAATGAGGCTAGTACTTTTCAAGACTATCTTATATTTGCATTTTTGCTACTAAATAGCCAAGTTGGTCCATACTTTTCAATTTGCTCTGCAATAATAGAATAGGAATCAGAAAATCAGTCCTTTCGGGTGAGTGTTAATTTAAAAATAAAAATAAATCACCAAACCTTTTCCCCTTCTATTGGATTTCTAATAAAAGTACATGAAGTTGACTATTGCACTATTGGAGCAATGAACCTTAAATAAAATGACACTCACCTGGGAAAAATTACTCATAGCTAAGATCATAAATATATTTTTCAACCTTCTGCTTTTCAGTGATCTGAGACTGAGCTCAAGATGATAGGGAGCCTAAGAGAGCTGTAAGTCTTTTCTTCCTGTCAATCCCAAATGGCATGCTTGTCTTCTTTTTCCACCCAGAAATTTTTTCCAGTCACAAAAGAAAATCTGGATGCTCCTTCAGGATTCCTAGACATAAGCTAATGCAGTAACATCATCAGCAGAACTTGGCCTGCCTGATAACTGGAAGTCACCAATCAGACAAATAGGGACTCTGCCTGTATGGATCAACTGCACATACATTGCTATTTCTAGAGTTACAAAGACATAAGGCTTTTCTCTAGACAATACCTGTGAATTAAGATCCATGGTTCATACTATCAAATCAATGAAACTAGGAGTTACCAAAATTATTCAGAAAACTTGCATTGGTAAGATATTTATTTTAATTTTCATGTAATTTGCACAAATTTTCCAGTCATAAGATAGCCTTAGTTTTCTACCTTGACTATTTCATCCTAAAAGGAATATGTCTCCCTCAAAAAAGTACATATGAGCACAACAAAGTTCATAAGTTGTTAAATTTGCAGAATAAATTTCCAGTGATACCTATTAAACCCCCACGATAAAGGCAGCAAAACTTTGTTATAATAAAAGTTCAATGTTCTAGGATACATAAAAGCATATTTTTTGTGATAGCATCATTTTACTTTCACTTGACTTTTTTTCCTTCAAAATATCTTAAAATTCATTAAAAAAAGCATAGCTTTTGAAAACTGGTCTATAAAACTCAACCACATGAAGGCATACAAAGACATTAGTGACCTTCTGCACTCTGGAAATTATTTAGGTTAAGGAAGGAAGAGATAGCCAGAATTTTGCACACTTTCATAGAAACTAGAAGTATCCATACGCAGAATCGCTCCAAAAGAGTTATCACATTTTAAATTGACACCTTGACTTCAAGGTACATATGCCTGTAGATTTTCCTGAGTGCTTGAAGTAATAGCTCCAAAACCACAGAACATTATGTGCAGTGTTGGTCTCCCACTGAGGCCCACAGAAACACCCTAATTTAGCCTCACAATGCTGTGACTGACTGTGTACCTGCACTGCACAAACAGATGACTCCCACTGTTGGTTCATTGAGATAATTTATGAAAAGGGCAAATATAAGCAGTGCAATACCACAGATTCTGCTCCAGTAAGAATCTAGGGCTTGATCCACAAGAAATAAGCTTCTTGAACCCATTCTGCTACTAACGGCTTTCACTGCTTTTGCTTCATTGACCCTGGCACAGCAGAATTATTGCCCCATTAGAACAGTCACAATACTGTATTTATACTCCTGAAATATTAACTTAAAGCTTTTTAGCAAACTCCAGGCTATAAATACTGCTACATAAAAAGTTCTGAATTTTACTTGTAAGATCTCAGGTGAGAAAGGGAAAGGAAAGGAATTAGCTAAAGCCTCTCATTGTTCACAAATTCAGTGTAACATTGAAATACAACAGTTTTGCACTTCTTATCAGTTATCTTCTTTTGTATGCCAGAAACATCCTTTTTGTGCATCTGTGCATCCTCTTTTGTGCATCATTGTTTGCTGAAGAGACTCTCTCAAACTCTGTGTAACTGGCTTAGAGAGATCTACTAGGTCAACTGAGGCTGCTTGGAACCAAAACCTGTCAAAGCATGAAAGCATCAAACACATAATATGTCTACAAAAAAACCTCTTTTAGATACTGTTCTGCAGAGAAGCAAAGGTGAGCTTTAATTTAGGTTTCCTAGATAATGGCAGTAAACTTGTCACATGAATTTTGAGCTCAGCAAATAGTCTTTCTTTAGGGGCAGATTATAGTTCTGTGAAAAGTAACTTTAAAAAGTATCTTTAATCTTGATTTAGTGAATTTTATATCACTATATAGCACTATGCAGTCACTTATTTTACTATGGGGAATGTACAACTTAAATATATTGGAATTATTGTTGGAACTAACAATTCCAAAAGACATTCAAAAGTCATTTGGAAACATTAACTCTATTCTTGGAATGGCATCTTCAAGAGTTGACATTAAATGCTGTCACCGCATCACCATACATAAAAACTGAAGAAGGCTAGGTTTCATGTACATAGGTATTCACTGTATTGGTGAGTAGTCTCAGTTGTTCTTAACCTCTCTTACATCACTGCTAAAAAACATTCCACATTTTCCCTAAGCCTAAATAATATCTATATGGCAAATACTTTCAAAGTCATTAATATGCAAATATTCAATAGTACAGTGCTTGAATGAACACAAAGTTTCCTAATAAGAATTCAATGTTTTTCAAGAGAAATGCATTTTCATTCTGTAGCTTACATTTATACAGAAACTTTTATGCCTCAGATTCTAGTAGACTGATCAACTGAAGATAATTCAAAAGTAATGTGAACTTGGGAAAGAAAGTTATGCAACTTTAGGAAAAAGGAAGCATGGAAAGAGTTGTTAGGTGAAAATTCATGCCATTTATTTTTTTTTTAAACTGAAATCTTTTCTTACCATCATGATTTGGATTTCCCAAAGTCCACGGCTCATCTGAGTCAAAATGAGTGTCTCCCCCAATTCCTGGCCCAGGGAAATATGCATGAGCCAAAAATCCTCCCTCCCCATCAAAGGGAGAACTGTCTCCATGAAAACCTGATGCAAAAATGATTGTAATATCCACATCCCTCTTCCCATTTTCTAATTCAATATAAGGAACTTCTTCAAATGTTAGAGGAGTTACATTCTGCCACACATCGAAGGCACGGCGAATGGCTTTACGAGTTTCAGCATCACCTACTTTTGGAGTGACGTTCTTTATGCTGAAAGAAACAAAGAAACATTAAAGAGATTAAATTTGACAGAGTGTTAAGTGACACCACTCACATCCATTTTCCCCTAATTATTAAAAGCACAGTGCTTCAAAGAAAACATGCAGGTCTGGCATTATATCATCAAAATACTCTTCTATTTTTAAACAAGCTGGTGCAAAATTATTGTGTCAATCTATGTGGACCTTTCTGCTAGAACTTATTATATGTTAGCTAGGTTACTCTCAGTAGTAAAAAAATCTTATTTTTAGAAGATTAAATATATTTTAAAATTAAAAATTCCTAACAGTGGGATAACCAGATTAATCAACCACTGACTGTTTACCTCCTGGACCACAATTAGAATCCATCGCAGCGAAAGAACGGTACGTCATTTCTGATCAAAAGAAAAATGTTTCCAGTTAAATGAAGTTTTAACTTCCTAGTGAGTCCATTAACAAGAGCTGAACTCCACACTGTGACCACCAACCAGTATTCACAAAGCCTTAGAAACAGTTCTTGTTGCATTTGTAACTGGATAGATTATTCCTTATCAGAAATAGAGCCTTTTGATGTCAATACAGACAAAGATGTCCTTTTATGATCTGATTACTTCTATAAATCTTGCATAAAACTGTAAAATTTCTCAGAGAAATAATTTTATAGAAGACAATTGTGTTAATTCAGAAATATATATTTAAACAGAATGGCAATAATCAATTTTAGACATATCCAATTTCCTCCATCACTTTTACTCAATTCATATGGCCAGCAAAAACTCTGTTAGGCTTGTGTCTGTTCTGAAACTGCTGCAATCAGATATTCTTCATTCATTTGACATGTGCTTGATTGGATGTCCAGCACAAGTTTCAGAAATTATGTAGTTCTACAGTATATGTAAGATTTATGTAAGTTTTCACAGCATGGTGTGTTAATGGAGAACAAAAATATTTTCATGAATAAACCTGGAATGATTGATTTGTTTGGTGCATTAAATGTGCTTGATTATATGGTATTGTAAGTTTATATAAATGGAAATAAATCTTTCAAGTCTAATTTTATAGATTTGACTTCATATATATAATATTCCGTATACAGGTTCATGTAAAAAACATAAAGTTACCTAGTTTGACTTCCACTCAAAAACATTCTTGTATTGAGTCCAATAATAATAGTAGTCTAACCAAAGCATTATTTCTTTTTAGCTAGTATGTATGTTCCAAAGAGATATCAAGACAGATTAGAAGATAGTATACAGTAGAGAATTCACTGCTTCCCTTGATCTTTTGTTCCAAATATGATTTAACCAGCCATTACATACTTGTGCCCATTCTCTTATTCATCTGGTTTATACCACTGGGTTTTGTTCTGCCTTTCTCTTTCACATACATAAGCTTTAAGAAGATTCTTTCCCTCTAAAAAGACATTTAAAATACATTTCTGCACTGCAAAGTCATTACCTTTTTGTGTTCTTTGAAACTAAAAGTTGAAATTCTTTAAATCTCTTATAAGACATTTTCTCCAGTTTATTACATATTTTCAGTGATTTTATTGAACTCACTCCAATTTTGCAATGTTCTTCTAACACTGACTCTGTCAGAACTACAAAGTACTGCTGTACTGATCTTGCTGTCAGACAGAAAAAGTCCTCTGATCTGTAGGCACAGCCTTACTCTATATGATGTCTTGTGATTAAAATTGCTTGTATGATGTCTTCATAATATTTACTTATCAGTAATTTTATGATCAGTGTTGTGTTAGTTTTCAGGTGATTAAAAAAATATTGGATGCACTGGACCAAATATTAGTCCCTGCAGAACCCCACTCTGAAAGCTCCCTCCTTTGTGAATTACTTTTTTGAGATGCTTTAGTTACTAAGTTCATAACTACTCGTTCTGTGCCCCTTGAGAATGTGCAGTATTTTACAACCAGTGTGTCATGTGGCCCTAAATCAAAATGCCTCACAGAGGCACACTTACACTCCCACTACCAAAAACTTGTCAACCATTAACCTGTTGCTATGCTAAGGATACTACTTACAAAGCTGATGAAACTTCTCCTAGTCAGCCCTGCAGAGTACTCTAAAAAGCACATAAATTGTGTCAAGCAGAGCTCATTGAAGGATTAGATCCTCTGTTATTTGCTATATATCATGAATATAGTAAATGAATCAAGAGACTTTCATAGAAAATAGAATATGTATAGCAAAACTGATATTTTTATGTAGGAAAAGTTCAGATGAAAGGCACAGTTATGATTTTTAATTGTTTTGTATTTAGGAATCTCAGTAATGGGTCAAAGTCACACTTCGGGTTTATACAAGCAGAGAAAAAAGATGGCCTTATGCTGTTATCTGTGACATGAGGAAATGGATAAAAACAGATTGGAATTTTGTATCGGTGACAAATCAATTAATTACTTGGTCTACAAGGGTTTGACTCACATTTTAAGCCTTATCACTTCACATTTTCTTGCTTTTTCAGTGCTTAGGATTGGGTTTTAGTCATTGATTACCAATGAAAAATTGAGCCACTATGGTAGTTTTACACACAGTAACTAGGAGTGTTTACCTACGATGAGAGGTGTTTTCCAGGGGATTCAACTATTGTATTACTTTTGAAATACCATTGTGCATCTCAAGATTCATTGTCAAGAAGAAAGATTTTTCAAAGAATACACTCTGTATTAAAAAAACTACCTTCTGGAGAGGGTGCGATTATACTGAAAAATGTTGCTTCTAAAATAAATGAAATCACACAATCGCAGAATCACAGAATATTAGAAGTTGGAAGGGACCTCAAAAGATCATCCAGTCCAAACCCCCTGACAGAGCAGGATCACCTAGACTAGGTCTCACAGGAATGCGTCCAGGAGGGTTTTGAATGTCTCCACAGAAGGAGACTCCACAACCTCTCTGGGCAGCCTGTGCCAGTGCTCCATAACCCTTACAGTAAAAAAGTTTTTCCTCATGTTCAGATTGAACCTCCTATGCTCCAGCTTGCACCCATTGCCCATTGTCCCGTCATTGGCTATCACTGAGATGAGCTTGGCTCCTTCCTCCTGACACTCACCCTTTACAAATTTATAAACATTAATGAGGTCACCCCTCAGTCTACTCTTCTCCAAGCTAAAGAGACCCAGCTCCCTCAGCCGCTCCTCATAAGGGAGATGCTCCACTCCCTCAATCATCTTTGTGGCTCTGTGCTGGACTCTTTCAAGCAATTCCCTGTCCTTCTTGAACTGAGGGGCTCAGAACTGAACACAATATTCCAAATGTGGTCTAAGCAGGGCAGAGTAGAGGGGAAGGAGAACCTCTCTCGACCTACTAACCACAGCCCTTCTGATACACCCCAGGATGCCATTAGCCTTTTTGGCTGCAAGGGCACATTGCTGGCTCATTGTCATCCTGCTGTCCACGAACACCCCCAGGTCCTTTTCTGCATGGCAGCTTTCCAGCCACTCGTCCCCAAGCCTGTAGCACTGCATGGGGTTATTGCGACCGAAGTGCAAGACCCGGCACTTGGCCTTGTTGAAACTCATACAGTTGGCCTCAGCCCATTGATTCAGCCTATCCAGGTCCCTTTGCAGAGCCTTCCTACTTTCAGGCAGAAATAAATCAGAAATAAATCAGTTATTCCAATATAAGAGTCTTTCCAGAAAATGTTTTTCCATTTTAATGTGTTTAACACACGCCATGTTCAATCCTAAAAGGGCAACTTCCAATACTGTGTATATCATGAATGTTGAAGTTGTCTACCTGGAAACTTTGCTAGAATAGTTCACCAATTATTATTATTGATTATATAACCTCCAAAGGGGAAGTACAGTAAGAAGATCAATCCATACAGACAGTGTATCAACTACTAGAGATTCTAGGACTCATCTCTTAAAAGTCTTCAGTTTAGACGTATCACAGCAATAGCAAATAAATTCTTATGTGAACCTTTTTTCATGCTACATTTGGCTCTACATCTTAAAACTATCAGTTATCCAAAATAGTGGTAATTGTCACTGGTAACAAAAGAGGACAGGGTATCTCACATTGAACGTATCTAGATAATGGAGCTAAAATAAAAATTAGTGAAGGACATGCCAACCACTCCTATTGCAAGGTGGCAGCATAAAGACAAAGGCCATCACAATAAGACTACACTATTTCCAAAGTATTACTTTCCTAAACTCCAAGTCTGGTGTTAATTTCACAGAAAAGGTGTTCAATACAGAGAAAGATGCAATGCTGACCTTGACCAGATTGGCAGTGCTACATTATAAAGAGGCTGAATAACATATTCACAATTCCTTCCAAAGGGAAATTGTTTTAGTAAGCAAGAGATGATCTCTAAGATTTCAATTTACTTTGACGTAATTTTTACAGATGCTTTGTGCAATTGTTGAAGGCTGCTGTTCTTAGACAACCACAGCCATGTATCAATTGAATACAGTACTTTGTGGTTATTATTGCTGTTTGAGGCAAACATGGTTTTCAGTCTGATGATAGTTGCTTTAGGCATTATAGCTTTTAAATCCATGTCTTGCACAAGAAGAATACAATTTCACCAGTGACAGGCATTTTTCACACTAAATTACTATTTCTACACATGCCTGAAAAGTCTTGTTCTGGAGACTGTCACTCTGAAATTCTGAGTCCCATTGATTTTAGAAAAGCTTTGGGTTTTCCTTCCTCTCCTCCTCCTTCCCCAAAATATCCTCAGAAAAATTATCCATGTTTCAGTGACACATTTTTGGCTGCAACAGTTTCAGGAGCCTTTCAAGGCTGTCAAGAAATACGTCACTTGGCTGTGTAAAATCAGTCATCTGAAATTTAAATGCAGTACATTAAGTAGCACATATTTGCCATTAAATTTCACTATTTCCTTTTTTTCTTCCTGAGCTGTCCTTAGAGCAGCTCATTATATTTTTCATGTCAATTGCTACAATTCTCTATATAAAATTAACCTTCTGACCCAAACAATACCCAAGAGGCAGTTCAGCAAAAGCTAGACAAAGCTCAGAATACATAAAGTTTATTATTACTGCTTACCTTAGCAGTAATGGCCTCCCCAAGAGTTGTAATAACTCAGTGACAGACTTCTTCATGGCCTGTAGGCTTTGATACTTCTGTTCTCCTCTGTATGTAATAAATACTGTTTTTAAATTGCTTCTAGGCTCGTTTGTGCATTAAATCGAGAGTATGAGATTAACAATATTTTACTATCCTGTTGTGCTGATTAGACTGGATACTAATGAGTGCTTTCTTAGAATTATTAGGTAATTATAATGATGTAAGATGATATTTTAGTTTTTTTTCTTAGAACATAAACATATAAATTAAATATAAATGGGGAAAATATTTCTACAATGCCATTTCTCT